CTGAAGAATTTGTTCAGTATCTGCAGGATAAAATCACTCAGATCCGGACAGGCTTGGACTCTGACTGGGGATATTCGGGCGAGTCGACAGGGATGAATCTTGTGGAGACCATCTGGGATGAGTTTGACCCTGTGACCCCCGAGGGCATGGACAGGATTATGGGGAGACTCTGTGCTGCCACTTGTGTGCTGGACCCGTCTCCCTCTTGGTTAGTCTCGGCTTCCCGGAAGGTGACACAAGGCTGGCTCCAGGCGATTACCAACACTTCGTTGAGAGAGGGGTTCTTTCCCCCTTGAAGGAGGCGGTGGTGAGGCCCCTCCTTAAGAAGACTTCCCTGGACCTAGCTTCTTTAGCCAACTATCATCTGGTCTCCAACCTTCGCTTTGTAGCGAAGGTTGTCCAGAGTGTGGTAGCGCATCAGCTTCCCCAGTACCTGGATGAAGCTGTCTACCTGGATCTGTTTCAGTCGGGTTTCAGGCCCGGATACAGCATGGAGATGGCATTGGTCATGTTGGTCGATGATCTCTGGCGGGCCCGGGACACGGGCTGCTCCTCTGTCCTGGCCCTATTACACCTCTCAGTGGCTTTCGATACCATCAACCATGATATCCTACTGCGACGACTCAGGGGGTTGGGAGTACGGGGCACCGTTTTACGGTGGTTCTCCTCCTACCTGTTGGATCAGTCACAGTTTGTATTGACTGTGTGTCAATTGTGGGGTGCTCCAGGGGTCGGTTCTCTCACCCCTTCTGTTCAACATATATATGAAACTACTGGGTGAGATCATCCATGGTTTTGGGGTACAATATCATCAATATGCTGATGATACCCAACTTTTCATTTCTACTCCAAACCACCCAAACGATGCCCTCAACGTAATGTCTCAATGCCTGGAGGCTGTGCAGATCTGGATGGGGAGGAACAGGCTCAAGCTCAATCCCTCCAAGACTTTCATGAGAAAGTAGCAACAATGGGGCATTGGAAGATTCAATTCAATTCAATTCAATTTATTAAATTTATATGTCGCCCTTTTCCCCCGAAGGGGACTCAGGGCAGCTCACACCTCGAACCGGGGAGGGGAATACAGACAAAAGATTTAAAA